GGCGGCGGCGGCCCGCCCGTGCGCAGGGGCTGCCCGAGCCGCAGCGGAGCGGCGAGGAGGGCGGCGACGCGCGGCTGCCGAGGCCGCCGCCCCTGGCGGCCAGGGCCGGCGGGCGCGGCGGCGACGGCCGCGGCGACGGCGGAGGCGGCGGCGGCGGCGGCCATTCCGAGGCGGGAATCGATCCAAATCCACCGCCCGGAGGGTCAGTTTATCTTGAGCCTCGGCAGGCGGTGGATATATGGACAGGTTCGGGCCCCCGGAGGCCGAGAGACATCAGTATATCCACCGCCCGCGGGGGCACCAGGACTCAGAGCGTGAATTACCTGCCCCGCTTTCGCTTCCAGGCGAAACCAAGTCATGCCACGCGCCTCCTCGTCAAGCGGCCTGACCAGTACAGGCCGTAGTCTGGCATCGCTCGGTATCTCTTGCGAAGCGAGGGTGGTCAAGAGCGAGGTAGGTTCGTTTGCCCCCTGAGGACGTCGGCTCCCAGGCGGGGGATGTGGATAAAGCCCCGCCTCGCAGCCACGGCGACGCCAAGGGCGGGGCGCCGGGGGCGCCAGGCACAGCCGAGGAGGCGGCGGGCCCCGAGGCCGCACGCTCGAGGCCGTCGCCGTCGGCGGCGTCGTCGTCTGCGTGGCCGGCGCCGTCGTCCTGCTCGCCGACGCCTCGGGAGTCGTCCGAGGTAGCAAGCCCCGTAGCTCCCTGCACAGTTTAAAACGACGCGAAGATCGGGACAAGATCGGATCGGGATAACTCGAAATCTCTGAGAATCGGCGGGTTTGGAGGATGTATCGGGCGCCGCGGCCGCTCCAGAGCGTTCCGGAACGCTCTGAGAGCGCTCCGGAACGCTCTGGAGCGATTTATCCCGATCTTAGCCCTGTTTTACAAGCCCGGTAGCTTTCTGCACATTCGACACTTCTCAGGCGCCGTTGTCGGGCAAGGGGGGGGGGGGTCAAACACACTGCTCGTGGTGAAGAGCAGGCAGAGCAGGTCCCTGGGGAAGGGGCCGAGAGGATCTTGGCTCGGAGATTCAGAGATATCGAGACGTCGGAGGCGTGGGTCATCCTCCTCCTCCTCCTCCTCCTCCTCCTCCTCCACTGTCTCTTCTCGCCCACCTCCTGCTTCCTCCTGTCCTCCTCCTCTGATCCTCGATTTTTTCTGCATCGATAACCCATTCTCGTCTGATCACCAGACGTTTCGGTATGGCGGGCCAGGTGGTTTGCCTGAGACTTCCGTCCCGCTGATGACCAAGAAGCTTGACCTTTCCGACTTGTTGCACGGAGTGTGTTGGGTAGGTTTCAAATCGTGGTTCTTGCAATTGTGCAGCGCACACTTGTTTTCAACGTCTCCAAGAGTAACGCGGATGGAGCACAGGTCGTTTTCAACATGTGGTTCACGCGTCAGTGTTGCGCACATCCCAGTTTTCAAAACGTAGTTTTCGCCGAAGCGCGGCGCAAAGTCGTTGGAAAAGCTACCAGCACTTAACACGGACGGAACACAGATTGTTCTCACAGGTTTTTTTATGGCCGTAGCGCCGCGCGCAGTCGTCTCCAGCGCTTCCAAGGGTTAAAAGGCTGTAGCACATGTCGTTTCAACATGTGTTTCACGCTTGAGCGCCGCCCTATTCGTTTTTTAAGCTTCCAACACTTACACGGATGGATCATATACCATTTTCAACATGTAGTTCTTGCAGTAGAGCCGCGCACCATTGTCTTGAACGCTTCCAGCCGTCACCTTGATGCAACACCTTCTTTTACTCCATAGACGTTTCGCTGGAGCATCCCCCCATCTTCATGATCAGGTACTTCTAAGACTGCGCAACAGCTGCACGGATGGAAGGTGGCTCCTTTTCAAATCGGGGTTCTCTCTTGAGACTTCTCTGGCGTCCTGTGCAGGTCTTTTTTGTTCAAGGGAAGGTTGCACTCATTGATGGCGGCTCGCTTTTAATGCGGGGCTCTCACTGGAGAGCCAGAGTTCGCAGGCGATGTTTCTCCCCCAATCCCCGAGTTTCGCCCAAAAAGTTTGGCCGCTCAGAAAAATGGAAAAACCCTGGGATACACCCCAAGGGGGCTATTCGGACGCACCCCTATCGAGGATGGGCACCCCCCCATCGTATATCCCAGGGTTGGGCCTCAAATTTCTGGTCCATTCGGAAACCCCACGAAGCCTGGGATAGGGGTCGACGTATCCCTTGTTAAGAGTTCATGATTATACTTCGCCGTCATCCTCACGGCCAGAAGCATGGAAGTAAACTCCGTTTCCAAGCGGGGCCCTCGCCTGAATCTGCAGCTCCGCAGGGGTGACCGTCTCTCCAGGGAGCGCATCCCGCGGAGACCATTTTATCCACCCTCCCCCTCCCCTCCCTTCCCCTCCCCTCCCCCCCTCCCCCTCCCTTCCCCTCCCCCTCCCTTCCCCCTCCCCCCTCCCCCCCCCTCCCCCTCCCCCTCCCTTCCCCCTCCTTCCCCCTCCCCCCCCTCGGAGCGGTAACGCCCTCGCCCTGATCCAGCGCGCGATCCCGGGCAGCCTAGGGTCTGTTGTGCACGCGGGCGTGCACTATGCTGCACGCAGGAGATCGTTTTTTTAGGCTCGCCCCCCCACCCTGCACCAGGATAACCCAACCTAGCGGGTTGTTCAGGTCCGGGGGGGGGGGCGCAGAGAGCTTTCAGGGAACGCTGTGTTCAACGGCGCGGTGGTGTTCGCCACAGCATGCTGGTGTTTGGATGTGCGTTTGCGAAATCTTGGGGTTTGACGTGGCATGGGGAGACGACGACGACGACGACGACGACGACGACGACGACGACGACGACGACGACGACGACGAGCGACAGACGACAGACGACAGACGACAGACGACAGACGACAGACGACGACAGACGACGATAGATGACGATAGATGACGATAGGCGACGACGAACGACGACGACACCGACGACCGACGACGACCGACGCCGTCCATAGGCATCCGGACGTGCACCTGAGCAGCGCGCACCCGGCATTGCGTTGTGCACAGGCAGCGAGGCGATGTGGTGCGCGCATTTGATGTTGCTGCAGCAGTTTATGTTGAGTATGTAGGCGTTGTGGTGCACGCAAGCATAGGTGCACAGAGGTCGCGCGGTGCACGTGGGCATCGTGATGCACCCACGCAATATGGTAAATATTGGTTTTGCGGTGTGTACAACTGCTGCCGCAACATCAGTTATCATGCACGCAGGCATCCCAGTGATGGTGGTGTGCAGGAGCACTGGTGCACTGTCATTGCGGTGTACCACACCTTGTGGTGTACACAGGCGCCGCGATGTACACATCCGCTGCTGTGCACACATTCGCTGTGGTGTACACAGGCGTTGTGGCCCCAAAAGACGGGACCGCAGGCCGCGCAAGAAAAAACAATAATCACAAATAGCTTTGATACGTTCGGACTCCCTACGATGTTCTGGAGTTCGGTCCTGCCGGGGGCCCTGGAAGTGTACGCAATTCTTTGGTGTACACACGCAGTTTGGTGCACCGGAGCTGTGGTGCACGAACATGGTGCTGAAGCAGCAACCGTTGTGACAGTGGCGTCGTCGTGTTCACAGGCAGTGCGTGTGGTGTACACAGGCGCTGCGGTGCACACGGGCGTTGTGGTGTACAGAGGCATTGTAGTGTACACAGGCAATGTTGTGTAGATAGGCGCAGCTGTGGTGTGCAAAGGCGTCGTGGCGCACGCCAGACAAGCGCTGTGGTGTACACAAAAATGGTCGGCCAAAAACGGGGGGGGGTACCGAACCCCAGGCCAGAATAGTCAGTAATTCCAAACATGTTACTTTTTGAACTTGAGATGTTCGGGCCCCCGGCGATTTTCCAGATTGGGGCCTGGCAGGTCATTGGAGGTGCATGGAAGCGTTGTGGCGCAAATGTTTGCCATGCGCTGTGGTGCACGCGGCTCCTGTGGTGTGCACAAGCACCGCAGTGTACACAGGCGCTGTGGTGCACACGGGTATTGTCTACACAGGCATTGTGGTGTACACAGGCACTGTTGTCTAGACAGGCGCTGCGGTGTACACAAGCAGCTGTGGTGTACGAAGGCGTCGTGGCGCACGCTAGACAGGCGCCGTGGCGCACGCTACTAGACAGGCGATGTGATGTACACAAGCATGGTCGGCCAAAAACGGGGGGACCGTACCCCAAGCCAGAAAAATCAATAATCACAACTATGTTACATATTGAATTTGATACATTCGTGCCCCCTACGATTTTCCGGAGCTTGGCCCCGTCGGTATTGCCTTCAGGCGTACACGAATTTTGCGGTGTGCGCAGGCGCTGTGGTGCACAGGGGGTGCTGAAACAGCAGCTGTGGTACACGCAGGCGCCGTGGCGTGCGCAGATCGCACGATGTACAATGGCGTCGTGGTGCACGCGGTTGTTATGGTATACACAGTCGCCGTGGTGCACATACATAGGATTCCTGTAGCAGCCCTGGTGCACAAAGGCATTGTACAGAGCCCGTGCTGTATGCACAGGCGCTGTGGGCTTGGGCGGCGACGACGACGACGACGACGGAGGCGGCGCGCCTCAGGGGGTGCGCGCCGCGGCCCCAGTCACCGTTACCCCCCCCACACGCCCCCCCCGGGGTAACATGCGTTAGCCCCGAGAATTACACAAAATTGTCTCGCGGTGAAGAGTTGAAGAGGAACTCTTGTAGGGGCATGCGAGGAGTGCACTTTGGACGGGAGGGTGTGTTGCAGCATCGAGGGCAGATGTGGCCAGTCTCGTCGGCTGCAAGCCGCGACAAGTGGCCAGTGTTCCTAAGCGGCCGCCGGCGGTCAGCCTTGCGTGCGTTCTCCCGCCCAAGCCACTGAGGAAATTTGGGCAGCCCCCCTGGCGGTGGCGGAGTTGGTTTGGGTGCGCCGCGCGCCAGGAGAGGGGGTAGGGAACCGTCTGGACCTTCTCCTCTTCTCCTCCTCCTCCTCGTCCTCCTCCTCCTGCGCCCTGCCTCCTCCGCCCGCTGCCCGCTCCGCCAGTACCAGCCCAGTGCGGCGGCACCTGACCGAGCCGAGCTCGGAGTCCCAGCCGCAGTGCGTGGTCAGGTCCAAGAGCAGGGCCGTCACGCTGCCCGCGGCGGCGCGCCCGGGCTGTGTGGAGGGGGTGTCCTCCCTTCTCCCTTATCATCCTTTTGGGAAGGGAGGGAGGAGGGAGGAGGGACCTTCCTCCCTCCCGGCTCCTCTCTCATCTCTCAGTTTCCATCTTCGTCCCCTGCCCCCCAAATCCCTTTTCGATTCATCGGTGTTGGTCTTCACTCGATAGGTGCCCTTGGGAGGCGCCCCCTGTGGGAAGCAGAGGATTATTTTTAATCGGCCTCGGATGCAAGCGACAGCTCCTCGAACCCCGAGGCAGGGGAGAGCTATGTTGGCCTTAGCATATCTTATCATCCTCCCTGCTCCCTCCCCCACAAGTGCACATATGGATGCTACTCTCATCTCTCCCCTGACTCTGTCTGAAAGACGTCCTTTCCTCTCCACGTAAGGTTTTGTCACACCGGATTTCAAACAGTGCTGTTTTGTTTTGCGGCTCGTTGCAATCCGAGGGTTTCCGGAGTTGCAGAGTGGACCTCACTCAACGGCACCGTAACGGGTACTTACTAACGGGTACTCTGATGTTTGCCGAAAGTTGCCACTCTAGGGCCTCTTTCTTGCGTTGCAGCTTTGCCCACATCGGGAAGGGCTGGGTTCGCTGGGCCACTGGCCAGAGTACCCGTTAGTGGAGTCCCCGTTTGAGGGGCGCTGAGACTCACGCTGCAGCATGGGCTTCATGTTCGTATAGGCGTTCTGCTCCCGTCGCTCAGCGTGCCGCTCTCGCCCGATGTGCGGGGCCGCTTTCCCGGATCCGGGTCCTTTTCCATGGCCTTTCCCCCCGTCGTTTCCCCTCCCCCGCCTTCCCCTGTTCTTCCTGCTCCTCCCGCCCATTTCCACTCCTCCTGCTGTTCTTCGTCGTCCTCCTCCCTCCTCAGCCTCCCCTTCCTCCTGCTCCTCCTCCTGTTCATCCGCCACCTTCTCCTCCAATTCGCGAAGGTCCCAGTTTCCGATTGTGCATGACACGATTGTGGCCTTTTCGGAGTTCCAGGTCCTCTATGACACGCGTCGGCGGATAGAGGAAAGCAGCGTAATGGAACATGGAAGGGGTGGGTGGGAGGGATAAGATGTCAGATATGGCGAGAGCGTGCCTAGCTTGACTCTTCCCCCCTCCCCTCCTCCTCCTCCTGCCTGGAGGGGGGTAGCAATTATGGCTCAAGCTGACTACGCTCAAGCCGTGGGTCGCCAGGCTTGGCCCTCTGCGTCCGCGAGTGCGTGGGCCATGGCGGCGCAGCCGCCGTGCTGCCGACGCCGCTGGCACTATTGACCGCGTGCGGCCCGTCCACGGCGTGCTCGCCAAGCACGGCTCGTCCTCGGCGTGTTTCGTCAAGGGCGGTTGCTGGGCGTCCTCTGCCTGCCGCTGCGGCCCCCATGGCGTTGCTGCGCGGAGTCCTGCGGGTGCCCGCTGCGTTCCTCAGCCCGCTGTTCCCCCCTGCCGGGGAGCGAGCTGATCGCGGAGCGTTGGCGCTTGGGCCTGTGTGGCAAGGCATCCGCCGCAGTTTGTGTCGCCTCGTGGAAGCTGGCTGGAATCCTGCTGCCGCTCTCGGAGCTTGCGCGGGCCCCGCCTCAGTGGCTTGCGGTCGGTGTCGCAGCGGCATGAGGCAAGTGGCTAGTCTGGTAGACGCAGGGCGGGCGGCAGCACCGCTTCGCTCATGCTCCCGGTGTGCAAACGTCGCGGTTTGCTTAGACGGCCCCCTTTTGTAACGAGGCTGGGCTTCATAGCGTCGCCCATCATGGGCTACTAGGGCCGCGCCGTACTGGTGCGCTCCGAAGTTGGGTTCGCTAGTTGACGTGCGCTTCCGCGGATACACTCGGCTGTTTGTGGACGTCGATTAGCTACCCCGCTGGAGTCCACTTTGCATGCGGTGCCGCGCGCACTTGGAGTGCCCATGGCAGCTTGCACTAGAGGGCGTTTTGCTAAATGGGGTTCTGCCCACCCTTGAAGTTGCCATTTCCGCGCTCTCTGCCATCTTGTCGTCGTCTCTCATCGTCTCTCCGCTTCTTCCTTTTTTAGCATTTCGCGCTCGCCAACACGTTTCAAGCACGCTATTCCCTCGAGGGACGGGGGGGGAAGGGGGTGTGGGGGGGACGGGGAGGGAGAGGGTTCGAGGCAGAACAAGGGGCGGGGGACGGAGAGGGCGAGTGGGAGGGGATTTCCTTTCTCTAAACCCTGGTTGGGCGGTTCTTCGCCGGGCACTCGGCGCCACACGTGACATAAGATGTGGGAGGCAAATGATAGCAGTGGCAGCAGCAACGACAGCAATTGTGCAATTGGAGCTGTTGCATCAGAAAGGTTTGGTTGGGCCGCTGGCGCGGAGGAAGCAACCAAGAGGTTGTGTCCATCCTCAGTGTGTTCCTGCTGTTTCTTCTCCTCCTACTCCTCCTCCTCGTAGACCTCCCGCTCAGGGGCCAAGGTCGGCGACACGATCTATTGTGTTTGCAGGAAGTGGTGCTGGCATGCGACCTCGAAGCCCTTTGTAGATCAGGAAGGTCTGCCCGAGCCTCGGGGGATCGCGAGCCCGACGCGGAACGAGGTGGCGCAGCGTGAGTTGCGCCGCTTCTTCAAGCTGCAGCATCCGGGATGTGGGAAGCAGGATTGTAGAATCGCCCCGTTGCCATTCTTCGGAGCAGGTTCATATGAGGCAACCCAGGCCCCCGAGCCCCCGGCCCCAGTGAGTGGGCCCCCGTTCCCTTGGCCGTTCGTCCAGAAGTGGATCCAGTGGAGGGAAATCCTTTCTGTGACTCGTCGGCACTCCCTCGCCTCCTGTCGCCCGCATGCTTCGCTCCACCCCTCACCTTTTTCTTCCCATCGCTCCGCAGTCGTAGTATGGCCTCTCGCTTTTTCCTCCTCGAAGTCATCCGTAACCATTGGGGCTCTAGTGACTAGAGCAAGTCCGTCCGTAGCGGAGGCTCAGAGCAAGAGCAACGGGCACGGGAAGGGACGGCTCCACCTTTTTTGCCAGGGGAGCCTGGCACACCACCACGATGGGGGCGCACCCCGTCGCGCACAACCTTTGTGTCTCACGCGGATGGGCAAAGATGCCAAAGGTTACGTCTGTTGCAATGCGTGCAGGTGCAGGATGAGTTTCTCGAATCGGCTGGTCTGCTTCAATTGTAGGGCCACCCTGGTGCCGCAGAAGATGCCGTGGCCGAGCGCACAAGGGATCTGGGCACCGTGACATCATGGTCCACCGCGTGCAGCCCAGTCACCTCCGACACACACAGGCGAGTGGCAGCGGGGGGGGCTGCTGCCAGCGGTGGTGCCCCCGCGGAAGTCCTCACCGCCTCAGCGGACGGAAAAGGGCCAATCGACGGACGACTTCCTGGATCAGCTCCGCGAGCGTCTCGGCCAAGTGGGTGCCAGCACTGAGGGAATCAAGGCGCTTGAGAACATGCTCGGTCCCAAGGCCGTGGCGGCCGCGGGCCCTCCGCTGAAGCAGCTCCTCGAAGCGACCACCTCAGCCACGGTGGTGGCCTGCCGCCGCGCACAGGCCTACCTCGAGGCGATGGTCGCACGCGAATCAGAAGCAGAGTCATGGCACAAAGAATGCAAGGATGCCCCGGCCAACGCCCTGACGCAAGCTTGCGCTGCGAAGGTGGCCTGGCAGCAGGAGTTGACGTTCGAGCTACAGCGGGCGAGAGGGTCGTCCCCAGGGAACAGCAACGACACTGCCTCATCGAGGCCCGAGCGCCCTGCGGGGTCGCAGATCAACCGTCTCCTTGCCATTGGGCGGTGGCGGCCGACGTCGTTGAGACTATCGCCTGCGAAGACCTCAACGTGGGCGCACTGGATGTCCGCGGGGCCGAGAAGAGCAATAGGTTTTCTCAGAGGCAAAGGAGATCCAGGCTGCGGCGGCATTGCCAGCGATCGGGCCTGGCGCAGAGGACAGCCAGAAGCTTCGCGGGGGAGCTCCGCGAGCGCATGGCCGCCGAGCGCAGCCGGCGGGGCGACGCAGCGGCCGCGGCAGCAGCTGCACCCACGGGATCGGCGGTCCCGGCTGGCAGCACCGTCCGCTGCAGCACCAGCAGACGCCTGCTCCTCCTGGTGACGGTGTCGATGCGCCAGTGGACCAGCCCAGTGGCCAGTCCAGGAGTGGGAGCAGCCTCTGCCGCAGCAGAGGCGGCCGCCGGCGCGGAGCAGGATCGCTTCAGCCAGCGAGGATGGCCCCCGTGGGCTACGTCGCTCAAGCCCACGCGCTTGGCGCGCACGTTGACGCTTGCTCCGCGCCATGGCGCCACGCCCCTGCCCCCCGCCCCCAGCAGGCGCCCGCCCTCGGGATCGCGGCCCCCGTCCAGAGACCCGCCCCTTTGGACGGAGAAGTGCGCCCGAGGCCTGCTCCGCGGATCTCGGGGGCGGGTCGGTGACGCGAGCCCCTGTAAGGGGAGGTGACGCCTGCGCGGCAGGAGGGGCATCTGCAAGACTCCCCAGCAGCACGTCGGCGTCTACCAGCATTTCAGCATTGCCCATTTCGCGGAATTAAGGCGTTAGTGCGCAAGCCCCAGAGGCGACGGCCATGGCAGCGTCGTCTTTGTGCCGAGCATTCGAACGCAAGTCCCCGGAGGGGTAGCTCTGGCTCGTCCTGTCGTGCTCAACGTATGCCATGTTCTGCCAGGTGTCAGTTGGCAAGTCCCAGACGCCACAGCGTCGGCGCAGTGCCCCGACCTCAGCGCCGCAGTCGAGATCTTGGGGTGGGCCAGGGATGCCCGCGGCGAGGAGTTCGAGGGGGCTCTCGTCCAGGAGCGCAGGCGCGACGCGGCCAACACCAGTGGGCTATATTGATGTTTGCGCGCAGAGCTGGCCCCCCCCCCCCCCCCCAGCGCGACAGAGGTCGGCGCCGCGTCCGCCTCGACAGGGGCGGCAGCGGCGACGAAACGCGCGCGGGCGGTGGCGGGCGACGGCCAGCGCCTCGCCAGCCACAGATTCTTCGCGCAGCGGGCAGGTCCGCTGCCACCTCGGCCCACGGCCACGCCGCGCTATAGGTTTTGCGGGAGGCAGCGACGCGCGCCCGGAGCAGGTCACAGCGAGCTTGCGATGCGCTCGAGCGTCCCCTCCGTCAGACTGTTCAGGCCGGGTCTTCGCCGCTCTCCTGGGCCGGAGGCGCGGAAGTCGTTCGCGGGTCGTCTCGGGGCGACGCTCCCGGGGTTTCCCTGCAAAGGACGATCTCGAGGTCCCCCAGGCCCCAGATGATAGGCCTAAGCTGCGCCCGAAGCGGCGTTTGCTTCGGGCCGAGCGTGAAGGATTCATGCGCGAATGCTCTCACCTGGGCTGTCGCCAGGCGCTACTCAGCTTCCGTGTCCCCCTGTTCCTGGACTCGGCTGCCGTCGAGGCCTCTGACAGGCACCTCACGGAAGCCCGTGTCCTGATGCTGCTGCAGGGACACAACCTCGTGATGTTCAAGGCCTGGGACGGGGCGGGAGCTCGGGTGGGTGGGAGCGGTTGGGTCATGTCATGCCTGAAATGTGGGGGCTACGCGTGGGCTGCGATCCAGAGTGCTTAAGGGTCTCTTCCCGAGCTGGGCCAAGCAGTACCGTGGCTGGACGATATCAGAGCCGCGGGTGCCAGCGCCACCTGCTCTCCTTAGTCTGGTCCGAGCTGCGCGTAGGGGAGTCTTGGTCCAGGAGGATGAGCCTGCCGATTTTGCTTGTGATGATCCCACCTGGGGGGAGCGTCGGAGCGTTCCGCAATTGCTCACCAGGTTCGGTCTCTGCATGGCCGAGGGTCCCGGGAACTCGTCGAGCGGGGACTCGGACTGGCTCTCTTTGTTGCTCGGGGCGTCTGGCAGTGACAGTCGCTTCCACGGAGTACAGTACAGTACACCTTAGGCGATGCTTAAGAAAACTTAAGGTTTCGGCCAGAGTCTCGATTATTCTTAACGTTTCAATGTAAATCTTAAGATTTTAATAGAAATGTTGGGTTGTTGTTCAAGTTCTGAGACTGTGAATTTCTTAACCCATGATTTCTTAAGCATTTCGCAGGGTGTACAGGCGACGCTCCCGGAGGCGAGGGCCCATCCGAGGCCCGCGAGGGGCGCCTCGGCCCGCGAGCTCTCCCACGCACCAGGCTTTGCCAGGCGGGCCTCTGCCAATGCTCCGGGCTCAGTGAGGGGCGCGCCCGCGCCCTTGGGCAGAGCTGCCGGGACGCACGCCGAGGCCGGCCGGCCGAAGACGAGCTGCTTTGGGGGGAGCCCTGTCGCGGGCCCCTGGCGCGGGGGCGGAGCCCGTCCTGGGGGCCGGCAAGCTTCCTTGTGGTGGGCACGCTCAGGGCTCCTCTCTCTCTCTCTCTCTCTTTCTCTCTCTTCTTCTCTCTTCCCTTTGCGTCCAATCCTCGCCCTCATCAGCATCAGGGTTCCTTCCTCCCCTTTGCTTTCCATAGCCCCATTCCTGCTCGCGCCTGGCTCCTTCCTCCCTGTACACCTTTTGCCTTCCCCATCTCTGTGCGTCGTTGTTCCAGCTGGATCGACGCGTGTTGGTCCCATGGCCCATGGGCCGTGGCTGCTGGGCGAACACGTCTGGCGTGCAAGATCTGCAGCGCCCGGATCTCAGGGGAGGGGGGGGGGGGAGTGCGGGGCGGAGGAGGAGGAGGAAAAAGAGGAGTAGGAGGAGGAGGAGGAGGAGGAGGAGGAGGAGGAGGAGGAGCCCCACCCCCTTCTCCGCCGTCGTCGCCGCCCTCCACCCCTGTCCCCCCCGGAGGCGACGCGGAGGACGGAGCCCGCCGTGCCGATGTCCCATCGGCGGTCGGGCTACCCCTCCGAGGGACCCCGGGTGGCCGGAACGGTGCAGCGGGGCAGCGGGCGGTGTGTGGGAGGACGAGGAAGCAGTGCACAGCCATGACGGTGGAATAAGGGGGGTTGGGGCAATAAATTAGCTTTTTCTTGGAGCTCGGACGAGGAGTCGCCACCACGCGAAACTCATCATCATCATCATCATCATCATCATCATCATCATCATCATCATCATCATCATCATCATCATCATCATCATCAGCATCATCATCATCATCATCATTATAATTAGTATTATTATTATGATTTTTATTATTATTATTATTATCATCATCATCATCATCGTCATCATCATCACCATCACCACCATCACCATCATCATCATCACCACCATCACCATCACCATCATCATCACCCTCACCATCACCATCATCATCATCAGCATCATCATCATCCTCATAATCATCAGCAGCAGCAGCACCATCAGCATGATCATCATAATCATCATCACGAGCAGCATCATCCGTAGCCATTTTGGCTCAAGGTTATAATGTACCTCGGCATTATAGCCTTGGTCGCAGCCGACGGGGAGGCCCGAGCAACTACCAGGGAGGCGCCTGGACTGTCCCTCCCACTTCGCACCTCTCGGCGCCGTTCCACCCAGATCTGAGCAGAGCAATGTCCATGTCCAGCGCTCAGATGCAGGCGATGCTCAACACCCTCCAGACGGAGCTCGGCAGGAAGACGGATACCGCACAGGCAGCCACTGATATGAAGCTCGACAATCTGATGGGCCTCCACGATGGCCGGTCCCGAGAGATGAAGACCATGGAGGCCAAGTCCGGCCAGAAGGTTGTTGAGATTAACATGTCCCTGGGAGAGCTGCGTTCACAGGTCAATGCATCACGTGCGGCGAGCTCATGTACGGCGTCCAGTGATGGCTCAACACTAAGATACACTCGTACGGCAGACGGAGATGGCAAGCTGCGGCGTGGAGAAGCCAGACCAAGTGATCCATGCAAGAGATTCATCGGCACCTTCCCGCGCACATGGTTGGGCAAAGAAATGGAGATGCACTGGAATACCAAGATAGTGCCAAATCTACCGCGGGAGGTGATTGAGGGCTGCAACACCAAATTCTCGGGGTCTGCAAAGAGCTACCAGCTTATCTTCACCAACGAGCTCCTGGCGAAACGTTTCCAGGATCTCATCTCGGAGGTAGACATCGACTGGGTTGATCGTCGCACTCGAGTCTCTCACAACATTCGCAGTCGTGCAGATTTGCCTCTGGATGTTCGTGCCAAACAGCGCGCGGCCTCTGTCATCTACGGCAAGACTCTGGAGCTCCTGAAGGCCGGCCCTCATGGTGATGCGATGTCCCACTGCAGGCTGGGCGTCAACGGCTACCAGGGCCTCATCAACCTGTACACCGACGATGAGGTATGGGAGCTATTCACGATCCATGGTCATGAGCAATGCGGCTACAGCTTCGACCCGAACACGACGAACCTTGAGAACTGGGGAGTGAGCAGGGACAAGGTTGAGGAATTGCTGGCCTCGATCACCAAAGACCCACGGCTTTTTGGCAACTAGAAGGGGCTGCTGCTGCACTATCGACCACAGAAGATCGACCTGAACATGTTGTTCCATGCGCGGCTATGGGGAGCCGTGCTGCTTCCGCTTCTCCTTCCTCCCCATCGGCATCGGCCTCGACTCTGGCTACGAGCAGCCCTGAGGCCGTCAGTGACAGGCAAGCATGTACTCTTCGCTCTGTGCCTTTTGTTCCCTCCTCCTCTCTGTCTCTCGTGACCTGGAATGCCCAGGCTCTTTTTGGCAGCGTACATGGGGTGAGCATAGGATTATTACTAATAAGTTTAAGCAGTTGTATAGACTGACCAAACAACACGATATTCTGGTTATTCAAGAATCTCAGGGCGATATTACTGATACTGATACCCTCATCCGTAAGCTACCCTATCATCGTATTTTCCCGTCGTCTTGTCCTAGTGCTGCTTCTGGTGGATGTCTCACGATCGTGCACGAGCGCGTGTGCGGGTTGTTCAAGCAGCTCCTGGCTTGAAGAAGTTGTCCACGGCAGGCTTACTATTCTCCACGTGCGTTCTTGCGAGCAGGCTATGGCAGTAGCAAATGTGCATCTTGATCCCAGTCTACCCTTCTCCCACAAGAAAGCGTTCCTTCAGCAGCTGAGCCGTCGCCTTCCTCCACCGTCTTGTTGTGCCAACTATATCCTGGGTGATTTCATTTTTTTCGGAAGTTGGTGAGGTCCGTCATTGTCTGGATGGCAAAGCTGAAAAAATGCAACTCTGGCCTGGCTAGATTGTTCTTGGAGCAGTTTCCTGGATATACTGAGCTGTACCAAACGGACCCCACCCATAGGACATACCAACAGGGAAACATCACGTCTGTCGCCCGACTGGACAGGATATACTGTTCACTGTATGCTGAGGAGATTCTGGACTTGTGTCCTCTTGCAGGAGTATCGCGCGGGGTCTTTGATTGTCAGCTTCCGAGTGACCATGCCCTAGTATTTTGTGCACTACGGCATCCGGAAGCTAGATGTTTTCCGCGTATTCCGTCGTGGGTGAGTCAATCGCCCCCATTTGCTAAGTGGCTCGAAGCAGAGCTTCGAGAAGTTGATTTGACTACGCACCCGCCGACCCGCCTGGAGGAGGTTAAAACCTTTATGTTTTCGGTGTCCAAGAGAGTTCAGCGGAAGAAAGAGATTCTGGGACCTGAGACCGACTTGAAACAAAAAACAGCTGGTGTTTAGCTCTGGTCAGAGGGGTTCGACATGGACGAACTCGATTGGTCCAGAGGGCGGTGGCTGCGCATCAGGTGCTGCAGCAATTTTTCTGTTCGGAGGTGAGGGGGTGGATTGATCGGGAAGGGCTTCATCTCCATCTTGCTTCTCTGTATTCTCGGCACTATAACAGGATGGAGGAGGAGATTCTGAATTCCCCTGCTCCATTTAAAGTGCGTGACGGGCGGGTTGCTCGAATTCGAGCTTGCTGCAGCATGGTCTCCCTCGCGCAAGCGGATCGCGCTTCAGGCTATCACGGACCAGTTTGGCACCCATCATCGCGACCCGCAGATTTGCGCGCGCATCCTGACTCGGTACTGGGGGAAAGTGTCAGCCCACCAGCCTGTCGCAGTGGATCGTTTTCCCCGATATCTTGCCCACGTTCGACCTGCCCCGTCTGATGTACAGTGGCAGGTCTCATTCGCGGACTTTCAAGACCTGCTAACCGAATGTCGTGACTCGTCCCTGGGTGGGGATGGAGTGCCCTATAGCGCTTGGCAGAACGGAGGTGACCTTGCCCAGCTAGCGTTATTTGATATGTATATATTCGTATGTGAAGGTAACCCTGTCCCAGCCGATTTCGCGGAGAGCATTGCTGTCTTCCTTCCGAAAGGGGGCCTCGGGGATCAACTTGAACAGGTACGTAATCCTGAAGCTACACGTCCCCTAGCATTGTCTCACACCGACTGCAAGGTCATCGCCGCCTGTCTCGCATGGCCGATGGCGGACTATGCAGCGCGCTGTGTCCACCAGTGTCAACGCGGATTTGTGCGAGGCCGCCAGCTGCTGGACAATGTTTTTTTCATTTAGATGCGCAGCTATATATCTGGTCAGTATTAGAGGGGAGCCAGAATGCTGGAGCAGCCTTCCTGGACGTAAAGGCGGCCTCCCCGAGTATTTCGCACGAGTGGACCTTTGCAGTCTTGGAGGCAGCCCAGTTTCCTTCGTGGTATGTTCATGCGGTGAAGAATATGTATTCTGGTGTTTGCGTGCGGGTCCGCTTCCGCGGGCGCCAGGACCAATGTTTTTCCTTGGAGCGTGGAGTGAAACAGGGCTGCCCAATGTCAGGTGTCATATTTGCTGTGGCAACTGACTGTATCAACAGATATGTACCCCAATGTTTGAAGAATGACATGTCTGACTTCCTGGTCTTCGCTGATGACCAGGGTATTGTCGCGCACAACATCTTTATCGTGCTTCCCAAAGTCCTTCGTGAGCTTGCACTAGCATCCAGGGTGACTGGTCTTGTTATTCATCCTGAAAACAAAAAAAACCTACATTGTTCTTCCTCGGGAATTTGATCTGGACGTGGTTCGTGAGAAGTTTAGGGCCCATGGGCTCCTGGCCGAAAGATTCAAAATCGTGCAGGCCGCGAAGTACCTAGGTATCTACATAGGGTTGAATGCGAGAGAGCTCTCTTGGGTCAAGCCTATTCAGGAACATCAAAAACGTTGCCGTCACATGCGTGGTCTTCAGCTTGGCCTAAGCATGAGCATGCTGACGTATAACATCTCCACCCAGCCTGTGTTGAGCTATGTTGCCCAGTGCCACACCGTCACGAACAGTGTACTGAAGGCAGAGCGAGAAGGGCTTCAGTTGCTCACCGCTGCTCCGAGACACTCATTCAGCCCCGAGATACTATACCAGCTCAAGGACTTTGGGCTGTCTCACCAGCCTCGTCCGTTTGCCGCTGTTGCTCACTCTGCTTTATGCCGCGCAGGTCTTCGGAGCGAGGCATTTTCAGATGAGGCTACAACAATTTGAACAGATCTTGGCTGGAACGGATTGGGTGGTTGCGTATAGGTGGATGCCTTTTTCTCGGGATCCGGTCTTCTTCCAGGTGGTGAATCAGCTTAATCTCCTGGGGGCTCAGGGTGATGTGTTCCAGGATCAGGACCATGACCTCCGGGCCAAGATCTTGTCTAAGGTAGTGGCAAAATCGTACGCTCCGCCTACCAGTCTTCTGCTTCCGAGGCTTCGATATTGGAATTCTTCACGCTTCGCGTATCCCCGCCAGCCCATCTCAAAACAGCAACTCTTGCGAAGCATGCCGACAGTCGCGTTTTTTCAAGCGTGTTCCCGCCTGCCCCCGCATATCTCCAGGCCTCTCGTCCTGGTGTGAGTCGTTCGGGCCCTTCTTCCTGGTGTGAGTCGTTCGGGCTCTTCGTCGTGGTTTGAGTCGTTCGGGCTC